AGGAGTAGTAGTCGTCGTAGTAGTAGGATAGTAGTAGTAGTAGTAGTAGTAGTAGTAGTAGTAGTAGTAGTAGTGGTAGTAGTAGTAGTAGTAGTAGCACTCGTATATAACACTATACCCGGAAGACGAGCGTTTGTTGCCAAGGGTCGCTGATTGGAGACCTTGAACTCCTCCACGCTTCGGACGCGGTGCTGAAAGCCAGGAGGCAAACCTTGCAAAGATGCGGACAGAAGTTCTCGGGTCGGTCCGAAGAACGGTTCATGTGCTCCTTCTTTGTGCAAGCTGCCCAAGGTAACAGGCTACGACTTAAATCGGCTTCTTGCTAAGGAACTTCATTTAAATTACCATAATAAGGAAACCCGATTCTTTACTATAAATCCCCGTTACAACTTTTCAATTGGAGTTCCTTAACAAGAGCCCAGCAGACTGCGAAAGCAGGCTCCTACCCTAGCGGCCTGGCTTTGCTCTCGCCAAGCAACCAATTAGCATGGCTCGGAGCGCAATGGTGGCCAGTTGCACTGTAAAGGAGATGGTAACAGTGGATATCCTCGGTTGTGCTGAAGCTACTTCCCATCAGATTGTTGCTTTAGGATCAAGGGCAGCTCCAGACCAATGCACTTGGAATCCTTCCTTCCCAGACGTCATCCTGGCTTTGGAGCCACACATGAAGAAGAAGGGGACCTCTTGACACGAACAAGGTCATGATTCGGGCGAGTGTGGGCTGACAGGGAACTCAAAGAGCGAACAACTCACCACATTGCTTGCGCTTGTTGGTGGATCCCTACACCCAAAACCCTAAACCCTAGACCCTAAACCCAATTGTTGCTGGCGCCCGGCACAACTTCAAGGCGGAAGCACCGGAAGTTGACCGAAAGCTTCGGGGCTTGGCTCAGGATGCCAGGGCTCTCCTGAAAGCTGGCTGTAGACCACGCCAGGACTGGCTGGGAGATCGACACCTTGCTGCGTCGTGGCGGGGGCGGGGTGTGGGAAAGGCATAAAACGAGACTTTTCCGGTGGGGAAATCGCGACGATGCCGAGCTGAGGGTAATTAAGATCATGATGTCACCGGACATTCAGCCATTATGCGATCGCCTATGATCCTGATAGGAGCACCGCCCGCGAAGTGCGACGACAAGGATAAAACTCGTGCACACGCAAGGACGAGGACGAGGACAAGACCACGACGACGACAACGACCGCGACGATGACGGCGAGGGTGACCTCCAACTACAACCACTACAACTACGACGACGGCTCCTACGACTACTGCTGTTACTAACACCACCAGCACCACTAACACCCCCACCACCACCTAATGCTACTAAGGAGGACGGCGACCACCGTCACCACAACCACCACCGGCACCGCCGCCATAGATACCGGAACACTTCGTCAGCAACAGATATGTCAGGGCTACAGGTAGCACAGCAACGCAGAGAGTTCAATGCGAACACCAACATCAACAACAAACACAACGGCGCAGTGTGATTGCCAGAACCATGCAACAACAAAAGCAACAACGAAGGGACCCTTCAAGGACATTTGATGACGAGACCAGAGAACAGCATAGGCATGTGGAGCAAAGCGGATGGCAGCTGCGAGCTAAATCCCCGCACTGATCTCCCATTCCGTTTCAAGGTGCGTCTCGGATCTGCCAGCCAACGAAGTCAAAGGCAGCATCCACTACATGCTCACCTCTGGCCCAAAGTGCAGCTGATGTTCTTGGATGAATACGAATATATAGTACTGTATACCAATAGAGACTCACTCTTATATACTATCAGATACTCTTGTATACTATTTTCTACTCCTAAATACTAGGGGGAAATTCGGATGCCAGGAGAGCTTTCATGTCAAGTGGTCGCCAGGCGACTTGGTGACCGCCGGATGACGATGGAGAAGACATTCTGCTGTGGGGTCTGGCCTTCACTGCAAGGTAATCGGCAGAGTGAGATACTGTTCTCTGGCATGTTGAAAGCTTTGACCATATGGCTAGGTGCTGCTACATATACTAGCACCGCGCCACTGCTTGCCTGGTAAACTGCTATTCTCTTGCTAAGGCAGCTCTGCACTGTCACATCTTTCCGCTCTTCGGCTTGCAGCAAGACGGCTTGGAAGCTCGCCCGTGACGGTGAAGGAAAAGGTTCCTGGCAAGGGTGAAGGAGAGTTGAGGTTGCCTGATCACTGGAGTGATTCTATGGCTGTTCTTGTGGGTACTATCACTGCTGTCTTCTCTGCTGTGTACACTGCTAAGTCTGCTGAGTCTTTGATTTTGTGAACAGATGTAGTCGTCGTCGTAGTAGTAGTCATCGTAGTCGTAGTCGTAGTCGAAGTAGTCGCAGTAGTCGTAGTAGTTGTAGCAGTCGTAGTAGTCGTAGTGGGAGAAGTAGTGGTGGTAGTAGTAGTGGTAGTAGTAGCAGCAGCGGCAGTAGCAGTTATCGTCGTCGCGGTCGAGGTCATCCTTTCCTCGTCATCGTCGTAGTAGTAGAAAGAACAGGCTAGAACAGCAGTAGCAGTGGCAGTGGCAATGGCGGTGGTAGTAGCAGCAGTAGTAGTAGTAGTAGTCGTCGTCGTCGTCGTCGTCGTAGAAGCAATAGGCATCATAATAAAAATACTAATGATAATAATAATAATAGTAATAATAACAACAATGATAGTAATAATAGTAGCAGCAGCCAGAGCAGTAGCAGTAGCAGTGGCAGTGGCCGTGGCAGCAGGTAGCAGCAGCAGTAGCAGTACCAGCTAGCAACAACAGAAGTGTTCCTATTTGCGTGCTTGGTCTCATTATCCGACATATGTCTTCACCTGCTGTCTTCCAGCACTACCACGCAAAGCAGCTCGTCCTGGCTGCAACGACTCCTCCAACTCCAGTCGCGCGAAGCCGGGGCCCTGCCGCTCCAACTTACAGAGCTCGGTTTCGCAGATAATGTAGTAGAACACTGTACGTAAGAAATATGTATATATATATATATATATTCACACACAATATCCTACAGTATTCTAAAATACTCGCGCATTCCGATGCCAATTGCACGGCTTGGCCAGGCAGGTGCACTTTCGCCAGAGGTTTGCGGTCGGCAAGGTACGAGAAGTACAGATTCGATACAGAAGTTTGCACTCACGCGGTGAAAAGTTGCTATGAGAACTCAGCATACGACAGAGGCTGCAGCTACGGCTCGTCGCTTCGTGCTGCGGGTGCCTGCTCAGCACACACCGCATCTGGAAGCGTTAAATGCTCCAGTCGGTCGCCTTGGCAAACAAAATCCTGCCGCTCTCTCAAACAAGACCGCTCCGACTGCTACGCCTGCCACGACACAGGTCATGCATGTGGAAGGTGAATACAGATCACATGTCAAGAGCTCCGCTAGCACCGGAGACTGCGGACAGATAAAGGAAGGAGTCAGCTTGCGTCTGCGACACACGGAACTCTTCTTGTCACAACCCCTCCAATGAGAAACCCTGAACCCTAAACCCTCATAAACCCACCCTCACCTCTGAAGCTCCATTTTTGAACCCACCCTCAACTCTGAAGCTCCTTCTTATTCGTTCCAAGAGTCAGGACAGCGAGATCTCCGACGGAGCGACAACCTCCAGGATCCTAAAAGTTCCCTCCGCGGAGGGGGTCTCCAGTGTGAAGACGAAGGCGAGCTGCGCGTTCTGGAGGCCTTCAGAATGTAGGGTTAGGGTTGATAGGTTTTTATAGAAAAGGTTTAGGGTTTATAGGGCTTGTAGGGCATAGAGGCCTTGTCGGGCTTGGGGTCTAGGGCTTGTAGGGCGTGGGGCTTATAGGGTTTAGGGTTTATAGGGCTTATAGGGTTTATAGGGCTTATAAGGTCAGGTTTCACAGCCACAGACTCAGGCATCGACTCAGGTGCTCGTCTACACGTAACCATCTCCAGTCGCCTTGCCTCTGACACTACGCCTGCAAGAGAGACTGTCGAGACCTATGTCCGGCCGGCCTGGTACACCGCCGTAGAGGACTTGAGCATCGCGCATCTGATTCCTCGAGATCAGAACAATCAGACGCTACAGAAGGCTTGTCGAGGCTGGAAGCTCTGTCGATCGCAAGCACCTGCTGATTATGTCGGGTGCGACTGCACACAGTGCCTCGCAAGTTCGCGCTGAGGGTCTCGCTATCACAGGTCTCGGATCAGCTACTAGGGTGGTTATCGGCTGCTGCCCAAAATCAATGCCACAGCATGTTTGATCGAGCCTGTTTGTCACAAGGCCTAACTCCGATTTGCCAGCTGGGAGTCACCTTGAAGCCATCTGCCTGCCCCCAGCCCAGGAGGTTGCCAGCTGGATCAAACGCCTGCACCAGCCAAGTGAGGACCTGCGGCGTGCGGAGCGGCGTTTGGATGTTGAAGACCAGCTGCTGATCCAATAAGCCCACGGCCTCGGAGAACACGAAACCTCAAAAAAAAAAATGCCGCTCTGTGGGGCCTTTAAGACTTAGGGCCTTGAGTCCAAGGCGCCGCCGTGGTCAAGAGATTCGCAACAGGGCGGCTGGTCCCAGCGAAGAACTCCCCAAAAGAGGAGCAAAGCTCTCCGCAAAGTGTGGGGAAGGAGAAGCCCGGAGGCGCGACAAGTGTGAGCTGCGTCGCCACGGGGTTTAAGTCGGCAGACACCTGATCACCCCCGCACATGTAACAGTTACTGGGCCAGAAAGACCTGGAGCAGGTATGTGCCTGCGAACCTCTGAAGCGGCGATGGCTGAAGTGACAGACCTAGCGGCACCTGAAGGTTTACCGCAATGAGCGCGTTGGGCGGGGAGCGCTCGGGTGCCAACTCCACGGCGAGCTGGAGCACGGGCTGAAAGCCAGCAAAGCTGCCATCGTTGGTGTTACTGACCTTGTCCATGCACTGACAGCACACCTGCATGTCGACTAAACGCCTGCTGTGCGATTTGCTGGCTGTGACCAGCTTACCCCAAGAGCCTTCACTTTAGCTGCAAAGCCCCTACAGTGCCCTTCTCGAACCCCTACGGAACCATCATAAAGCCCATATTAGAGCCCTTACGGTACCCTTATAGGGCCCTGCTACAACCCTTCTACAACCCTTAAGGAGCCTTATAGAACCCTTCTAGAACCCTCAACCCCAACCCTAAACCCTAAACCCTCGTGCCCTTAACAAGAGCCCCGTTTGGAGCCACTCTCGGGGTCCCCTTAGCCAGGTTGCGGCTCCCTGGCTGTAGCTGGCGATCTTCCAGGTGTTCACCCCGAAGCTTGGGAGGGCCTCATGGGTGTAGGGCTTAGGGTTGAGGGTTTAGGGTTTAGGGTTTAGGGTTGTGGGTTTTGGGTGTAGGGTTTAGGTTTTCAGCACTCACTCTCGGACTTGCCTAGGCGAGGTTTAGGGCTCAGGGTTTAGGGCTTTTTGAGCCCAAGGTTATTTATAGAGCGCATACGTGGATAGACCTACCTACCTACCTACCTACCTACCTACCGACCGACCTACCTACCTACCTACCTACCTACCTACCCACCTACCTACCTATGTA